CTTAGCACAGCGTCTGACACAGATGGTAATTTGGATACCTCACAATGCCAGCTGCTTTGTAAAGTGTCCGTGGTCTGATGTCTAGGACAGCACACAGCTAGACCTGGAATGCCAGGAGTTGCCCTATGATTAGCACGGAGAGAAGGTGGCATCTGCACATTTGCTGACTGGTGAATATTCAGTTCACAGAACAGCCCAAACCTGAAGGTGATGTGGTAAATACGCTAAGTTCCAGGGTCTCGGAGAGGAGTCTAGAGGAAAGAGGCAAGTGATTAATACCAAAGATGGGAGAAGAAAGACCACAGACCCAAATCATCATGGCCAAATTAAAGCAAGATGTGTTATTTGTATACACAGGCTGCCTCCCCCTACGGTGAGGTTCGGGAGATGGGCATTGAATGTGAGGCAGACTAGGCTTTTATAGCTGGAGGGTAGGGGGTTTCCCAATGGGGGATTTGGCAGGCAAAACAGGCGAGGTTGCTGGAAGGACATAAGCATAACAATTAGTTCCTCCTGAAACAAAGACATGGTTGCACGGTGGACTTAACGAGGGAGTCATAGCAAGTAGTCATAACAAGGTACTCATGGGTGGTCATATAAGCTTTTGAAACAAGGGTAGGGTTGCAAGATGGTTTTAAACAACTTTTGAAATGACATGGTTGCCATTCCTGGAAGAGGCAGTACAGAACCATGTGTAGTTAAGATTATAGGTGGGGCATAGCCCAATCCTTGAGAAACAGGTTTAATTATGAACAGGAATGAGCCTAGTTTGTCCTCACTGTATGATGTCTTTTAAGCCTAAGATGGAGGCAGGCTGGTTCTCCAGTTAATATTTTGAATTTTGATAGACATGGGAAGAAACACCTTTCTGAATTCTTCTGGTAGGCACTTGGCTGTCTGAGTGCTTGGGGTAGCCAGTGACTGTGGCTACCTCACGCTTGGGGACAAGGGGACTGGAAAACTAGAGGTGGTGCTACCTCAGGTTCGGTTGCCTTTTTTTTTTTTTTTTTTTCTTCAGCAAATGAAACGCCTGCTTTGTGTCAAATCCTCTGTGAGGCCTCAGGTACATAATGACAATGAGAACAGACATGCAATTTCTAAGCTCAGGAAGCATGTGTTTGGGGTCTAAAGAGGGGATTATGAACCCTAAACATCCACACCTCGGTAAACATGAGCAAAATAGAGGCTGAAGGTCCAAAGGGAACGAATAACGGAGGGCCTGGCCTCGGTGGCCTTTGTGGTAGCAGATAGAAGCTGAGGACAAGTGGTAAGCAAGGTGGAGGTGGTTCAGGCCAGAAAACAGCGTTTGCAAAGGAGCTCCGACCCACAGAAGGAGCTGCAAGAGCCTTGAGACAGACAGTGGTTAGCCACAAGCGTAGCAAGTCATTAAAAATATCTGTAACCCGGAAGCTATGGGGAAGCCAGGGAAGAACTTTAAAACTTCCCTTTCACCTTTACTTTTATGTGTCTGGCTGCTTTGCTTGTATTTACGTATGTGCACCATGTGTGTGTAATGCCTGCAGAAGCCAAAAGAGGGCACTGGATTCCCTGGAACTGGAGTAATAGACAGTTCTGAACCTCTGGGGATTAAACCAGGGTCCCCTGGAAGAGCAACCAGTGCTCTTAACTGCTGACTGAACCATCTCTCCAGCCCCCAGCGAACTTTAAATTGGGTAATGTCATGACCCCATGTGAAGTATTTTTTGCTTTAGGATTCTAAGCCCTCACACATTAATCACATTTGATTGCCACAGCAACCCTATAGAGATGTTATGTCTGTCTTATAGCCAGACCCAGCGGTCTCGAACAACTAGACCATATCACCCCACCCTGCCTTCTCCTACCAGCAGATGCCTATCTACACCCACACTGATGGAAGGAAAGTGATGTTACTTGTGGGAAATCCAGGGAACCTGATTTCTCTGCCCTATCTCTTAGTCCTCTTGGTGACAATTCTTCTTGAATCTCAGGTTTCTTGAAGTAGTCCAACCAGAAGGGAGAGACTCCTTTTGGTTGGAAAAACCTGTCCCTCCCTTTTCCCCTGGGGCAGGACTGGCAATGAAAGAAATGTCCTACATGCCTGAGCCTGTCTGAGACTCTCTCTTCAAACCCAGTGAGCAGGGTTCATGTGGCAGGTCGAAGGCTTGGGCTGAGGGTGTTTCATCAGGGAACAAGAGCACACAGGAGGTGGGGTGGAGCATGACTGACAGTGAAGGCCAAGCCAGGAAACCGACAGGGTAAACCGCCTGCCTTTTCCTTTTTCTTTTTCCTAGACAGGGTTTCTCTGGGGAGCTTTGACTGTCCTGCAACTCACTCTGTAGACCAGGCTGGCCTCAAACTCACAGAGATCCACCTGCCTCTGCCTCCTGAGTGCTGGGGTTAAAGATGTGTGCCACCACCACCTGGCTACTGTCCTTTTGGTTTGTTTGTTTTGTTTTTGAGACAGGGTTTCTCTGTAGCTTTGGAGGCTGTCCTGGAACTAGCTCCTGTAGACCAGGTTGGTCTCAAACTCACAGAGATCCGCCTGCCTCTGCCTCCCGAGTGCTGGGATTAAAGGCGTGCGCCACCAACTCCTGATGTGGCTGCTGTCTTATGTGCAGGAATTCCTTTCATTCACATGCCAAGTTTGCCTAGTAGATGGGACTCCTGTTTTACAGATGGGGAAAGGAACTCCAACAAGATCTTTCAGCTGGTAAGTCAGCTGGAATTAAAGCCCATGTTTGGGAGATGCTAAAGCTTTAGTGCTGTCTGTTGAACTCCAGTAACCGGAGAAGAGCTGATTTATTCCACCCAGCAGCACCTCCGCCTCAGTAGTATCAAGATTCCTCCTCTGGGCTTACTTGTTAGAAATGCAGTTTACATGTGTACCTACACAACACACACACACACACACACACACACACACACACACACACACACACACACGTGCCCACGCTTAAAAATAAATATTTTTAGCCAGGCAGTGGTAGTGCACACCTTTTATCCCAGCACTCGGGAAGCAGAGGAAGGCAGATCTCTGAGTTTGAAGTGAGCCTGGTCTACAAAGTTCCAGGACAGCCAGGGCTGTTACACAGAGAAGCCCTGTCTCAAAAAACAACAAAAAAGCCTTTTTAAAAAAACCAAAATAGCCGGGCGTTGGTGGCGCATGCCTATAATCCCAGCACTCGGGAGGCAGAGGCAGGCGGATCTCTGTGAGTTTGAGGCCAGCCTGGTCTACAAAGTGAGTTCCAGGACAGCCTCCAAAGCCACAGAGAAACCCTGTCTTGAAAAACCAAAAAAAAAAAAACAAAAAACAAAATAATGCTATCCTAAAGAAAGGGACGAGCATGCCTGCCATCCCCACACTTGGGAGGCTGAAGCAGGATTGCTGTAAATATGAGGCTCTCTTGGAGTACATATCTCCAGGCTTGTCTGTAGTACAGAGTGAGACCTTGTGTCTTCTAGAGGACAAGAGGTAGTTCCTGCTGGGTCACAGTGGGATGTTCCTGGAGTCTTAGTTTTAGCACCCATCAGTCATCAACTGGGCAGCTGGAGTCTGTGTAATGTCTGGCCATGGGCGTTCTTAGCAGAAAGCGACTATGAAACGTGAATGCCATTCCTCTACAATGCAATTCCAGAAAATGTGAAGCACCTGCTTTTGACAAAGATGCAGGCAGCACAAGGAAAAAGAGGCCAGCAAGGACGGCAGCTGCTGATCTGATCTGAAGGGATCCCCGAACACAATGCAGGAGGGACTTGTACTTCCATTTTGCAGTCTGGATGCCCTACTTTTCAGATTGACCAGGGTCAAGTTGCTGGTCCCCAAAAATACCTGAATCCCCTCCCCCCATATCAGCCGCATAGCATCTCAGCCTGAGTGAGGAAAAGTCGGATCATATCTGTTGCAGAACATGTCTGAGGCCTGGTTGGGTGAGAGAGTCAGGGTGTTTGAGTGTCTCAAGGTCACTGGACTGGAGTTACTTGGAGGTAGAGCTAGAGGGATAGGCATCATAATCAGAGAATGTTTAGGCACTACTGGTAGTTTGATGGTGACTGTGGTGAGGTTTCTCCAAACCCACTCTATCAGCTGAAGGAGTCTCCTTGAAACTCTCTTCCATCTTTGGTTGTAAGAGGTAAGTAAACCAAGGAGCTGTTGGCCTCAGACAGGCCCTAGGCCACAACAATCCTGTTGGCCAGTGACATTTTAGGTAACTTCTCTCATATGGGGCTGTCTGTCTGTCTGTCTGTCTATCATCTATCAATATATGGCAATATATCAGGGTTGATATGGTGGCACACTTCTGTAATCCCAGCACCCAGGAGGTAGAAGCAGGAGAATTTCAAGCTTGAGGTCTTCCTGAACTACACAGTGAGACCTTGTCCAAAGAAAGAGAGAAAGGAAGGACAAAAGAAAGCTGGGCTGTGGTACCATACTCCTTAAATCCCAGCACTTGGGAAACAGAGGCAGGTGGATCTCTGATTTTGAGGACAACCTGGTCTACAAATGGAATTTCAAGACAGCCAAGGCTACACAGAGAAACCCTGTCTCGAGAAAAAAAAAAAAAGAGAGAGAGAAAGAGAGAAGCATTTTAAAGAATGTTTCTTGATTTATTATTAGTAGTAATGTGCTTGATAGTGTGTGCAGAGTCCAGGATAGAACTCAGGTCTCCAGACTTGTACAGCAAGTGCTTTTCCTCCCTGGGCCACCTTGCTGTTTCTCATGTTGGAACTAATGACTCGGCAGATGCTAGGGATGACTCAATGGCAGTGTGTTTGCTTGCATGTTCCAGGCCCTGAGTTCAATCTCCAGCATTAGAACAAAGCTTGGTGTGCTTTCTACACTCACCCTCTTACATTTCTTCTCACCCCCACCTCTGCAAACATGAAAGCATGCTCACACACACACACCCAGAGGGGGGAGATCCAGGCCTCCCAGGAATGTAAGAACTCTCTAAGGGACCAAGGCCTTTCCCCAAATTTGGCAAAGTTACATTTGTCAGAGTAAAAGAACAACAACAAAATCCTACTTGAGTGGTTTGTTTGGGTAGAAAAAGGAAAGAATGTTTCCTAATGTTTTAGTGGCACTGGAAAAAATAAAAAATAAAAATGGCAGTGCCTTCTTTTCCTGCCTACTATTCCCTTGGATTTCTCCGATGTCATTTGTAGTGGCTAGAATGAGATGGCTTGCAGTTTTAATTGTTTACTCTGATAGACCATCAGGTCTGATCAGCCCCTCTGGTTCAGACATTTGCCCCCAGAGGTAGATATGCCTGATCATGAGACCACCAGCCTGATTAGCATTTACTGACAGCTTCACGCAGCTCACTTGGTACCCAGTGCTTTCCAGAATGATATGATCCATCTGCCCTTGCACAAGACGGCCCAGCAGGGTATAGCTGGTACAGTTTGGGGGTATTCCTTCCGGCTGGTAGCCTAGCTCTACCTGTCCTTTTTCTAGGATGTACTTTGCATCCATGAGCGAGCCTGTTCGTACTTGCACTCTGTTCAGGTTCGCTGGGTGGCTCAGAATCACTGTCAGATAGTTGCCTGTACTGACGTTGTAAGTCCAAAAGAAGGACTCGTCCAGAGTGTAGGCCTCCTGCGGGGAATGGACACCAGGGAGCCTCATGTCCGTGAAAACAGTTCCAGGCAGGACATCAGGACCACAAGGACCATTTTCCTGGGCCATTAAGGCCTTGTTCTCCAAAGTGAAGTGAGTTAGCCTGTGGTAGAAGAGAAATGGTCTGCAGAAGATTGGGTTTTGCTGGGCCAGGAGGGTACGGAAATGAAGGATCAGCCATTCAAGCGGTCGTTCCTTGTGGAAGAGGAGGAGGAAACGGGCCAGAAGTGGAAGGTCCCTGCTGTGGAAAAGTTTGCCAAGGAAGCCCATATTAGAGAACTCTAGGAGTACCCATGTGTGGGGCTTCCTGTTGATTACCTTTGAGCGAATATGTCTGACAAAATTAGGAGCACAAAGCACATTGTCCTCTATCAATAGGAAATAAGTAGAGAGCTTTGTGGCAAAGCTTATGAGGAAGGCGTGGTCTACGTTCTGCTTGGAGTAGATCTGCCCCTTCGAGAGCTCCTTCTGGTCATCAGTCACGGTAGGGTAGGCATCAGACGGGGCATGGATCAGTAGCAATTGCCCTGACAAGATCTGGGAGTGGTAGAGGCTTGAAATACGGAGAACAGTTTTTCTGAGCCAGGTGGGGTCAGACTCTGCCAGGTGAACTAGCACTGTTATCCGTTTCTGCTCGGCTGCGGAGGAGGCGTGGTACAGGGAGGCCAGTGTATCCAAGAGGCCACCTTGATCCTGCCGTGACACTGAGTTGATCCCCACTGTCAGCCAGGCTAAGAAGAGGTGAAACAGGGACAACTGTCAATGTGTGCTGGTGTTGAGTGAGCAAAAAGGCTAAAGAAGCAAGCCATGGTGAGGCATGCCTGTGACCTAATCTTAGTACGAGGGAAGCTGAGGCAGGAGGATCACGAGTTCAGTAGGGGCTACCTAGTATAGTGAGACCCTGTGTCAAATACAATAAAATAAGCCTCAGAGTTAGAGGGAACGGGGATGGAGAGGTGGCTCATCCTCTGCTCTTGTTGAAGACCCAAAGTATGGTTGCCTGCACCATTGTTGTTGTTGGGAGACTCACAACGGCTGTAACGTCAGCTCCCGGGATCCACTCCTGTTCTGGACTCCCTGGACACCCATCCACACATGTGTGCCTACACAATACACAGCACAAATGAATCTTAAAGATTAGAGAATGTTATATGGGGTACCTGGCAGAGGGAATGTACATTCTTGCTACTCTATCTATCTATCTATCTATCTATCTATCTATCTATTTATTTATTCTGAGACAGGGTTTCTCTGTATTGTTTTGGAGCCTGTCCTGGAACTCACTCAGTAGACCAGGCTGGTCTTGAACTCACAGAGATCTGCCTGCCTCTGCTGGGATTAAAGGCATGCGCCACCAACGCCTGGTCCCATTCTTGCTATTTAAAAAAAAACTTTTTAAAAAGATTTATTTATTTTATTTTGTGTGCATTGGTGTCTTGCCTGCATGTATGTTTGCGTGAAGGTGTCAGGTCTCCTGGACTGGAGTTACAGATAATTGTGAGCTGTCATGTGTGTGCTGGGAATTGAACCCAGGTCCTCTGGAAGAGCAGCCAGTTCTCTTATCAGCCGAGCCATCTCTCCAGTCCCATTCTTGCTATTCTTTTTTTTTTAAGATTAATTTATAGCTGTGCAGTGGTGGCATATGTCTTGTCCATCCTTTCTGAGTCTTTTTTTTTTTTTTAACTTGGAGCTTGTGGATGAAGAACTTGATAGATATTAGCTTTTTGTTATAGTTATTATAATTCTGCCTTTATCCTTTTATTCATTTCATCTTCCAAAGGTCCCCTTTAAAGTCAGGAACCCATGATTTTGTTTCGTTCTGCTTTTCAGGTGCTAAAGACTGAATGCCAGATTACTTTTCGGGGTTTCTCCATGTAGCTTTGGAGCCTATCCTGGTACTCGCTCTGTAGACCAGGCTGGCCTCGAACTCATAGAGATCAGCCTGCTTCTGCCTCCTGAGTGCTGGGATTAAAGGCGTGCACCACCAACAATTGGCAAAATGCAGACGATCTTAATCACAACTCTTCTTTTACATATTGTAACTAATCTCTCTTCCCTCCTATTTAAATGCTACAAAGCCACACAGTTTCTGGGCATGGAGGTACATACTATTTTTTTTTTTTTGGTTTTTATGAGACAGGGTTTCTCTGTATAGTTTTGGAGGCTGTTGGTCCAGCCTGGCCTCGAACTCACAGAGATCCGACTGCCTTTGCCTCCTGAGTGCTAGGATTAAAGGTGTGCACCATCACCACCCGGCTCAGAGGTACATACTTCTAATCCCAGCACCTAGACACCGAGTCAGGGAATCTTAAGATCAAAGCCAGTTTGAGATACATAGTAAGGTGGAGGCCAGCCTAGGCTGCAAAGGGAAACTCTTTATGAAAAAAAAAAAAAAAGGCTGGTGGAGCTGAGAGATGGCTCAGTATTTAAGAAAGCTTGAGGTTATTTCAGAGTTCAGTTTTTAGCACCCAAGTTAGGCAGGTCACAACTACCTGCAACTCCAGCTCCTGGGGATCCATACCTACACCTATACCTATGTTATACCTATACCATACATATACATATACTACACACACATAAACAACCAAAAAAGCAATGGCTGGCACCATCCCCTCCAAAAAAAACTACCTAAGTCTGGAGAGATCTGGAGAGATGGCCTAGTGGTTAAGAGTGCCTACTGATCCACAGAGGAGATGAGTTCAGATCCTAGCACCTACCTGGTAGGTTTACAACTGCGTGGAGCTGCAGCTCCAGGGACTCTGATACCCTCTTCTGGTCTCTGTGAGTACTGTATATATGTACATATAGCCACAGACAGAGACACATGTCTTCACTTAATGGAAAATAAAATAAAAAGCATAGCACAATGGTGCTTGCCTTCAATCCCAGCACTCAAGAGGCAGATGCAGGAGGATCTCTATGAATTCAACCTGGTCTACACAGTGAGAGTCTGTCTCAAAATCAATAAACAAAAAGTCACATGATTATCCATTCCATAGCTCTTCACCACCACCAAAAGCCACATAACCATCATTTCTAGGGCATGATCATAATTGCAGATTGAAATATTAAGTTACACAATGGAGTTATGCTCCTTGTTTAACTAATGTAAACATGTATGGTATTGCAGATGAGTGTATACACAGTGTAATGTTTAGAAACGTTTTGTAATATGTGGTCAACATATTATATCCACCTATTTTAAGTATTTTTAAAGGTTTTTTTGTGTGTGCGCATGCATGTAAGTATGTGTGTGTGTGTGTGCGCGAGCGCGTGTGCATGCAAGCTATGGAACAAACTTTTTGTACATTCTGAACATGTATTACTCTTAGTGGTTAATAAAGAGCTGACTGCAAAACTACACAGAGAAACCCTGTCTCGAAAAAACCAAAAAATAAAAAAATAAAAAAAAATAAAAAATAAAGGGCTGACTGGCCAGTAGATAGTCAGGAAAAGGTTAGGTGGGACTTGCAAACAAAAAGACAGCACAGGGTAGAAGAGGGCAGGATTACAGGAGACAAACAAGAGGAACATGCTGTGCTGAAGAAAATGTACTACCACGTGGTAGACTATAGATAAAAAAATAGGTCAGTTTATTTTTTGTTTATTTTTATTTATTTATTTATTTATTTATTTTGGTTTTTCGAGACACGGTTTCTCTGTGGCTTTGGAGGCTGTCCTGGAACTTGCTTGGTAGTCCAGGCTGGTCTCAAATTTACAGAGATCCACCTGCCTCTGCCTCCCGAGTGCTGGGATTAAAGGCATGCGCCACCAACGCCCAGCCAGTTTAATTTATAAGAGATTGTTAGTAACAGGCCTAAGCTATTGGCTGAGCATTTATAATTAATAATAAGTCTCTGTGTGACGACTGGCAGGACACAGAAAAGTCTGCCTACTGGCGTGTGCACACATGCACGGTATGTGTGGTGCTGGGGACTGACTCAGGTCCTCTGGAAGAGCAGCAAGTGCTCCTAACCACTGAACTATTCCTTCACCCCCTGATTCTACTTATTAAAACAACCACCTTTGTCTATTCTTTCCTCCTCATATGCCTGACTTGTCAGTGTGCTGGGACTGGGGACGGAGTTGTCATCCAGATCCAAGTGTTCCTGGATGCAGTTTCACCTTCCCTCCTGCTCCCTTCCCTCACAGGATCCTCCCCTCCCCAGGACACCCTCCTCCCTCACTGGTACTCACTCTTTCTTCTCTGGTGGACTTTTTCCAAATATTTGGAGGTGATGGTTGGCCAGTCTTCTAAGGGTTTGGGGTTCTTCTTACTGCCATGCTTGATTACCTGGATCATTGACAAAGGATATGTATGTATGTATATATGTATGTATGTACACACACTCACACACACACACACACACCTCCTTTCATAAAACAGCAGCCTTTATTTCTCTTTGCTTCCCATACGCTGTTTTAGGGGAAGAGGTAAAGTGACTCACTCTTTTAGAAGGAGTCCAGCACCAGTGCCTGCCTGGCCATGGGCCAAAAGGTTCAAGGGCTCTGGCAGTATTTGTTTTCTCCCTTACCTTGAGAAACATGACAAATCAATGCAGCTAGTTTATGGAATAGAGGGGAGATCCACACCCCAGCTTCACTCAGAGCCTCCAGCTCCCAAATGGAAAGGATTAGAAGGAAAGGCCAGGTTCCTTGGGCAACCTGCCTGTCCTCACCCTTTCCCACTGTGCATTCCCAGGTTCCCAAAGAATAGTCATCACCTTTTGGATGTCTTCAATTTCCTCAGGTACTTTCAGGGTGATGAAGAGCCACAGGACTATGACGACCATAGAGGTTTTGAAGCACTTCCTGATGGACCACCGCATCGTGTCGACACTAAGATATGGTTCCTACAGCAAGGAGGAGTATGCACAGCAACAGAGCGCTGCTCTCCCTGACTGTAAGATTATTGGGGTTTCTTTGTTTTTATTTTTGAGACAGGGTTTCTCTATGTAGCTCCGTAGACCAGGCTGATCACGAACTCACAGAGATCCACCTGCCTCTGCCTCCCAGGTTTTGGGATCAAAGGCGTGCACCACCACCGCCGCCAAGCTCAGATCGCAGATTTTTAAAATATACGGGTGTATAGGCCTTATCAGAACAGGACTTGTTAATGTAGAGTAACTTCAGTGACTTTTGAGTTATTGAAACACAGGCAGCTCGGCTCAAAGTGCCTGCATCCAGCCCTCTTGGTATCTTTTCTGACTGCTCCTAAACTACAAGAGAGGCTTCATATACCGTGTCACCTGAGTTAGCAATTATTTTCCTGCATACTCAGGACACAATAAAGAAACTAGTCAAGTGATTTCTATGCTCGAGGCCATAATATTCTCCAATTTCCTTCATTCCCAGAGATGTCCTGCATCCTAGTGGGGTTTAAAATTTTAAACATTAACTAGTTAATTAACTGCTATTATTCTTTCCTTCTTTCTCTCTCTCTCTCTATCTCTCTCTTTTTTTTGAGGGGGGAAGGGCTGTGAGCCCAGCCTTTAACAGCTGAGCCATCTCTCTAGTTCAAATTTCTTTTTTAAAAATTATGCGTGTGGCTGGGCGGTGGTGGTGCATGCCTTTAATCCCAGCACTTGGGGGGCAGAGACTGGTGGAGCTCTGTGAGTTCGAGGCCAGCCTGGTCTACAGAGTGAGTGCCAGGATAGGCTCCAAAGCTACAGAGAAACCCTGTCTAGAAAAAAAATTATGTGTGTGTTGGGACTGGAGAGATGACTCAGTGGTTAAGAACACTAGCTGGGCTGGGCACATGCCTTTAATCCCAGCCCTCAGGAGTAAGAAGCAGTTGGATCTCTGTGACTTCCAGGCCAGACTGGTATACAGAGAAAGTTCCAGGACAGATTCCAAAGCTACAGGGAAACCCTGTCTGGAAAAACAAAACAAAACAAAGCAAAGCAAAGCAAAAACAAAAGAACACTAGTTGGTCTTCCAGAGATCCTGAGTTCAATTCCTAGCAACCTCATGGTGGCTCACAACAATCTGTAATGAGATCTGGTACCCTCTTCTGGCCTGTAGGGATACATGCAGACAGAACACTGTATACATAGTAAATAAACCTTTTTGAAAAAAATTATGTGTGTTGCTGGGAGGTGGTGGTGCATGCTTTTAATCCCAGCACTCGGGAGGCAGAGGCAGGTGAATCTCTGTGAGTTCAAAGTCAGCCTGATCTACAGAGCTCCAAAGCTATAGAGAAATCCTGTTTAGAAAAACCAAAAAGAAAAAAAAATGAAGTGTGTCTTCTATGTCTATGCTTATGTAAGTGCAGTGTCTGAAGAGGTCAGAAGAGGGCGCTGGATCCTGTAGAACTGGAGTTACAGGTGGTTGTGAGCTGCCTGCTCTGGATACTGGGAACTGAACTCAGGTCCTCTGCAAATAGCACCACACGCTCTTAAGTACTAAGCCCTCCTCCAGCCCTGGGTTTTTTGATAATAGTTATAAAAAACAATACTTATTCATAATAATAAGGTTTTATAGATAAAAATTTTTCTTACCTGTTTTCTTTAAGACTTTTTATCGAATGGGTGATTCCCTTTTGAACTTCTATATAAGAGACACAGATGACCCAGGTTTCTCTAGACCATATACACACGGGCAAGCAGACTTAATGAAAAGGCTAAATAATTATGGTTAAAGGACTTCACCACAATAGACATAGCTCAGTTCTCTTCTGTTCTTCCTGTGACATCATTAGGCAGTAGGGAATTCTGTTCTTATTCGGCCCTCTCAGGCCAACAGTCTTCCGGAAAAAGCAGGACAAAGACTAAGAGGAACTGGAGAGTTGATACCCTGGGAGTCAGGGACAGTGGTTTGAGGTCTCTGATGCTTCCTCCCCTCCAATTCACTCCCTCTGTGATGTTACTATTGTGTCTCAGGTCCACACTCATGGCATCAGAGGGCAGGTACAGGATTTACATGTGATGTGGTTCACAATCTCCGCCTAGTAATTATTATTTGTGCTATCCCCAACAACTGTTCTGCACCTCTTAACACAGAGAATTGACGTAGAGAACCACCAAGCCTGCCCATCACACCCTGCTTCACGGCAAGTCTGTCCATCCTCTCCGTCCGCGATCCCTTCACCGGCCTCTCATTCCCTTCTCATTCTGAGCTTGTCACCCTTGCATTCATCCTATCTCTTTGCATGGTTTCTTCTCCCTCTCTGTTGTCTTCCTGTAGAAGTCAGAAAAGAAAATCCTTCCCTTGAATTCAGGTTTCAAGTTCTGTCCGGCTTCTCTGAAATTCTCTACAGCAAGTCCTTAACAGTGTGGACGTTAGACAACTCTGTTTTCTTTCTCAACTTTTTACTCTTTGACTCCATCTAGAACTCTTTTGTTCTGACACCCGGATTCTCCATTGAATATTCCTTCTCAGCTTTCTCCCTGGCTTCATCCATTTCCTAATCCATCTACTCACATGGTCTCAAAGCTTTCTCTCTTCCTCCACATTCTCTCTGGCTAACTCCAGACCTACGTTTGTGTGTGTGTGTGTGTGTGTGAGTGTGAGTGTGTGTGTTTTGTGTGTAAATACATTCAATCTAGTTCCAGGTCACAGGTCACCTATTTGAGGTCTCTGCTTGGATGACTAAGAATCATTTCAATACCAGAAACAAAATGTAACATGAGATCTCTCTCCTCTACCCTAACATTTCCTCACATTCTTCCCATCACAGTAAATCACACCACCACCTTTTATGTAATTTATTTGGGGGGCAGGGAGTACAGGGGTTATCTTTTGTTTTTTGTTTTCCAAGACTTTGGAGGCTGACTTGGAACTTGCTCTTGTAGACCAGGCTGGCCTCCAACTGACAGCGATCCACCTGCCTCTGCCTCCCGAGTGCTGGGATTAAAGGCGTGCACCAGCACCACCTGACCCAGGGGCTATTTTTGATGCCTTTTCTCTTCTCAGTACTCCACATCTAATCTGTTTGATCTTGGTACTCAAATGTCCTCAAATTTTTACCTAGAAGATGACATCTAATTTGTTTAATCTTCTTACTATGTCCTCAATGTTTTACCTAGAATATGACCCCTTTTCAACATCTGCTAGGATTACAATTAGTAGTTATCTATTTAACTTGTACAGCGCCAAACTGAACCCTGTTCTCCTACCTTTTAAAATTACAAATCAGCCAGGCGTTGGTGGCGCACACCTTTAATCCCAGCACTTGGGAGGCAGAGGCAGACGGATCTCTGTGAGTTCGAGGCCAGCCTGGTCTACAAGAGCTAGTTCCAGGACAGCCTCCAAAGCCACAGAGAAACCCTGTCTCGAAAAACCAAAAAAAATAAAATAAAATTACAAATCGAACTGGGTGTGGCCTTTAAAACAGCATTCAGGAGGCAGAGTAAGATGGATCTCTATGACTTTGAGGCTAGCCCAGTCAACATACTGCGTTCCAGGACAATCAGGTTTACACAGTGAGACCTTATCTCAAAACAAAACAAAATGCAAACAAAGAAAACCAACAAACAAAACAAGTATCCCCAAAGCAAAAACTATAAATCAAGGGACTGGAGAGATGGCCTAATGGTTATGATCACTTGCTAGTCTTCAGAGAATCCTGGTGTGAGTTATAGGACCCGCATGGTGGCTCGCTGCAGTCTGCAACTCCAATCCCAGGGGGGTCTGATGTTCTCCTTTGACCCCCACATGCATACAGACATGTGGGCAAAAAACCTATTCACGTAAGATACTTTAAAAAGCTAAAATCAGCCGGGCGTTGGTGGCGCACGCCTTTAATCCCAGCACTCGGGACGCAGAGGCAGGCGGATCTCTGTAAATTTGAGACCAGCCTGGACTACCAAGCGAGTTCCAGGACAGCCTCCAAAGCCACAGAGAAACCCTGTCTTGAAAAACCAAAAAAAAAAATTAAAATCATAAATAAAATCTTGTAGGATGGTATGTGTCTGTAATCCAGCACTCACGAGTCTAAGGTGAGAGTATTGTGAGTGGAAGCCAACATGGGCTACATATAAAGACCTTGTCAAAAAAAAACCCTACAAAAAACCAAAACAATAAAACAACAATAAAATGGGTTTTTAACCATGCATGCCTTTAATCCCAGCACTTGGAAGGCAGAAACAGGCAGATCTCTGTGAGTTCAAGACCAGCCTGGGCTACAGAGCGAGTTCCAGGACAACCAAGCCTACTGTCTCAAAAGAAAATAAATAAATAAATGGGAAAAGAAAAATTCTAAATCAAGTGAGATGCCTCTTCTGTTTGCCATCCTCTGGTGACTTCTCACCTCAAATAAGAGGTTCCAACTCCTGATTATGGCCTGCTTATGAGGCCTGTTTTCTTGAAGAGATGTCCTGTAAGTTGCACAGGAATCTCGAATCAGGTAATATTCTCTTTTAATATTTATTTTTATTTCATTTGCATTGGTGTTTGCCTACTTTCTGGATGAGGGTATCAGATTCCCTGGAGCTGGAGTTACAGGCCGACTGTTGTAAGCTGCCATGCAGGTGCTGGGAATTGAACCAGGGTCTTTTAGGAGGAGCAGCCAGTGCTCTTAACCACTGAGCCATCTCTCCAGTCCTGCACATGGTGTTATTTTAGAACACTTCTCTGTAGATTTACCCCATAGCTGCCCCTTCTCTGCCACCGAACTCCCAAGTTCAGATGTTCTCTCTGCTGCCTTGAGTTACTGGCTCCTGAACCCCATACCAGCGCTTCCATCCTTCTCCCTACCTACTGGATAATCTATTTTCCTGAGCATTTGTTGCTACCAGAAAGAATCTTGATTGTTATGTTTGCTGTCTGTCACTGTCCTCCAGCCTAGAATTACAAACTCCAGAAGAGCAGCCACTTCATTTTATTTGGTACTACATCTATATTTTGCAGAGTACCTGGCCCAGAGAACCATGCTCAACAAGACTTTATTAGCTTGTGGGTTATGGGAGAATCCTGGTAGTTGACAAAAGTTCATCAAGAAACACTATGGTAGATGCTAAGGGCATAATAGTGCCATGAGGCCAGAGAAGGGCTGTGGGTACAGGACGGTTACAACACATAGATTATGGGCTCAGACAAACTAGGCTAGAATCTGTTTCTGTTCAACTTATTCATGTGACCTTGGCCAAATGAGTCAGTCTTTCTGAAGCTCAGCTCCTTCTCTACCAAGTGAAGATGACTGATGACTACTCTCAAGTGCCTAAGGGTTCTTTTGTTGTTTAAGACAGGATCTCATGTGGCCCATGCTGGATTTGACTTTGCTTTGTAGCTCAGGCTGGCTTTAGCCCACAACCTTCTGTAACTGCAGTTCCAGGGGCTCTAATGCTCTCCATCTGCCACACAGTGCTTGTTGGTACTGTACGTCCTAGGTAAGGACTTGGATTTGACTGATGTCAGAGTTCCCCTCTAATCTGGGAGGATGAACCATATCAGCAGGCTGGGACAATGAGGAACCTGGCCTTCTTTCTGTACTTCTTCCTGGGTGCTTCAACCCGTGCTCCCGTGACAATTGCTGTTTCTTTGGGGACCTCCGATTTCACTGGAGGGTGGAGAGGGCTGATACTTCACACAGGGGACCATCTGACTACACTGACTGAAAATGTGAATTGAGACTGAATACTTAAAAATATGGGAGAGCTCAAAAAAAATTAAACTTAGCTGGGCTAAATTTATTCCCAGGCAGAGGTAGGTGGACCTCTATGAGTTAAAGGCCAACTTTATCTACATTGGGAATTCCAGGCCAGCCAGGACTGTATAGTAAGTCCCTGGATAAAGGGGAAGGTCAAGAAAAACAACAAAATAAACCCAATGTGGTGGCATACATCTGTAATCCAACATTTGGTTGGTAGAGGCAAGAGACAAGGTTATCCTTGAGTATAGATGGAGTCCAAGGCTAGCCTGGGGTACCATGACAGCTTCTCTTAAAAACTCCAAACAAGCTGGGGTGGTGGCGCACGCCGTTAATCCCAGCACTTGGGAAGAGGGACAGGTCAATCTCTGTGAGTTCAAGGCCAGACTGGTCTACAGAGTTAATTCCAGGACAGGTTCCCAAAGCTACACAGAGAAACCCTGTAAAAAAAAAAAAAAAAAAAAAAAAAAAGGCAAAACCCCTCAAGCCAAAAAACGGGAAAAACTTACGCACACATCCTGGCCTTTGCTTGTCACTTATTTCGTATAAGGTGTTAAAGATGGAACACAAAGGGCTGTGGACAAAGGTAGAAGGAGAATGAGCAGAAGAAAGCAGACAAATGGAAAACAAACAGTAAAACACAAGGAGAGCCAAGGTGTGATGATTGGTTTTCTAAATCATGCAGACAGTATTCTTGGGGGCAGAGAGGGGACGGGGGGGGGGGGGGGAGAGGAGGGGAGATGGACGGGCAGTGGGTGAAATTAAAGGTCAGGTAATTGAGGAAGACCTGCTTTTGGTAATTCTTAAGGGCTCTGTTGAGAAAGAAAACCAGTAGGATATGTGACTATGTATCCATCTCATCCAGATACATTTATATCACAAGGCCATATCTGTATATTAAGAGGGAGACTGACTTCTAGGAGTTGGTTCAAAAAATACACAGTTATTTACAGTTCTGGAAGCTACAAGTCCAAGATCAAGATGCTAGCAGGACTTTTCCCAAGGCCTCATTCAGGCTTGTGGTTGGTGGTCTTTCAGCATCTGTACTTGCTCTTCCGTCTGTATGTGCATCTCTTTGAAAGTTGCCAAACTGGTGGGAAAACAAAAAACAAACTAGCCTTCCAGCAGTCTATTCTCAAACAGTCCATTATGGGTCACAAGAATCAACTTCATAAGGCTCAGCCAGTTTACAGGTGTATCCCTGCATATTTTGTGAAACTTTTGTTACTCTGTACATAAAACACTGGAGGGGACTGTCAAGGTTTGAAGCCACTGCAGCCTAGAGGGAGCTGTGGGACCTGGGAGGTAAAGGTGCAGCTGGGGGACTGTATGTCTGACTGCAGCTTTCAGCGGTTAGCCTGGGTGTATGGGGAAGATCAAAGGCAGGGGCTGAGGTTGCCATTCTCACCCTTGCTCTGCAATTATCATCAGTGTGACCTTGACTAATCTGAGTCTGTTTCTCTATCTGAAAAATTAAGACAGCAGCACCACCTACTTCATGGGCTGGTGTGTCTAGTAAGCTATGAATTACTCCTGACTAGTGATCCTATTTGTGTTAGAGAAATAGTTCAGGTTTTGTTTGTTTCTGTTTTTACACATCACTTGTTCATGCCAGGGAAGAAAAATGTGAAAAAGCCTCCTTTTGCATTTAGGAAGTTGTGTTATGCTAGACAGTGGTGTTCTGGAAAGTTCCAGCATGTTACATCCCAGATACAGAGATTTGAGCTGAGGAACAGGACATGGTGACAGGAGTCTCTCAGCCCAGAGACCTGAGTGCTGGTGGATGAACTGGGACTATGACTTTCCTCTCACCCTCCAGGAGCACAAGAACATTCTTTGGCTCAGAACTAAGGGAGGTTGAAGCTGTAGGATTGCTGTGAGTTTGAGGTCAGTCTGGGTTATATTGTGACTCTGAGGCCATTCTGAGCTGCATAGCAAGACCCTGTCTCAAAAACAAAACAAAACATAAAAATATTAAATAGTGTTCCTTCAAGAGTCTCAGGCCTCTAAAGCGGCCAAACCAGAATGGGAAGAAACGCCCTTGAAGCCTAAGCCCTGGTGTGGGTTTCTCCGCCCCTCCCAGCCCTGTGGGTAGGGCTAGCACCATCGTGGGAACATCCACTTATGAGTGTCTGATCCATGCGAGGGTCTAGGTCTTTGAGCCTCACACCCAGGTAAACGAAGCTGTAAGGTTTTTGGATCTCAGTTGACTCAGCTGACTCAGCGTATTCCAAGGGTGGTGAGGGTTTGGAACTGTAGCTCTGGGGCCGGGCTTGTCTAGGAGAGATCTTCCCCTCCTCCCCTCCCTTTCCCCTCCCTTGTGTGTGCATAAGAAATATGTAGGCACAAGGCAGTAGGATTTAGTTACAAGATGCCTCTCCAAGATCAGACCAGCTTTCCAAGGACGAAGCCCATAATGAGACCCTTTATCATGGTGTCAGCTGGGGTGGGGAGGACAGATATCCCACAGGGAAAGCCTTGCAGCTGAGGAGAAGGGACACTGATTCCAGTGGAGAAAAGTTAAGCAGGGCAGGGAATGGCGAGGACACTTTATCTCACTGTATTCACCCACTGCGTGGGCTGTCTCAACACTCCACCATGGAGTTATTGTGAGACGTCTTCCTGTGCACAGGCAGATTCTTCTCCATGTCCAGCCCAAGGCTTCAAACTCAGCCAATTGGAGCCGCATAAACTCAAGGCCATTTCCCCTCCCTTTCAATAAATATTTGTGGAGCAACTCCCACGTGCCTGGTACTGACTTTACTCCTTCCCTCTAGCGGCTTACCAAGGGGTGGGGCACGTGCTGAGGAGGTAGCAGGGACTGTGGTGGGGAACTGATGTCAAGCTATAAACCAGCAATAAGGAGTAGCGACATGACCTTGCGGAAAGACACATAACGAGTAAAGCACCGGGACATCCCACGGTTGCCCCAGGAGACACCTGGCATCACATTTTCCAGAGCACGAAAGGTGCTGAGTTCAGATGTTGGCACTGAACTGGAGATGAGAAACTGGGACGGTGCATCGCGGATATTATGGAAAACGGGGAGGGGGGAGGTTGGTGGTAGTGAGGCCGAGGCGGAAGGGAGGCGCACGGATAACACCGGAGCCCCGTCGAGGCGGCAGCGGCGGGAGGGGGTGGGGAGCGGAACCGACACGTGCGCTACGTGCTGCGCCGGCCGCTGCCCCCTCCCGGGCAGCGGGGGAGCCCGGGCTGCCCCCCTCAGCCGTCGCTCAGACCCCGAGCAAGGGGTGGGGGTGGGGGCGACGGAGAACCAGAGGAAAGTCTCGCGTTTGGAACCTACAAGTCTGGTCTCTCCTGCCCGGCGACCGGAAGGAGCAAGGCCAGCGGATTTAGGGCACAGACTACGCTCTCCGGGTGCAGGCCCGGGGGTGGGACTCAACCGGCTGGGGGAGCGAGAGGGCTGACGGCTGAGTGGGCCGGCTGAAGACATCGAGCCCTAAGGATGTATCTAAAGGCTCTCCAGCACTCATGGGGTGCTGGGGGGACGGAGTCCGGGGCGGAGGCGGAGTGTTGTCCAAGAGTAAGGAGGGGGGGGTTCCTGGAGACGTGGCACTCGGAGCGGGCTCGGTTCTCCTCGGGCCGCCGGGACTGCAGCCCCGCTTCTCCCCGGGATCCTGGCGCTGCGGCTCCGCCCAGCCCTCGCTCCCAGTCCTCTGGGACTCTGAGAGCCGGGACCTCCACGCCAGGGTGAGCCAGGTCCGGCCTCTGAGGCGTCCAGCTGGCCCCACACTAGACAATGCGGACCCGGCCCCGCCCCCGGAGGCTGATGCGGCTCGGGCCGCGGCCAATCAGCGCCTGTGGCTAGGCTCTTTAAAAAAAGAAGAGCCGGCTGCGGTGTGGCTGTCAGCTGGAGAGGGATCCCTCCGCCCATGTAAACACACATCATAAAGGGCAAGGGGAAGCGTCTTCTGTGGGGCGGGGGAGCTGTTACCTTAGCAGAGAGCCCTCTCAGTCCCTAGGTTCTCTTTACTAGCTTGGCAACCGCCCTCTCCCTAGGCGTCTGTTTGAGTCTGTGTGGAGCCAAACAGCTGCTGCTTGATCTAAGAGCAGTAGCATCTCGTCATTTAGGGTTACTACCGGAAATGGAAGAGTCAGGACTAGTAGACCTTGAAAGTTGGGAGTGAGAGGCATGCCTAACCCATAGATGAGAACTGAGAGTTTCCCCCTAAACTCATACCCTCCAGTCATATACTCATAATTCATGTATGTCTAGAAGTATCAAAATTACAACCTACCTGGTTTGTAGGATGCTAATGTCAAGGGTTCTGCGTTCTCCCAAGGCAGAGAACTTGACAGAAAATCAATTCTAGGACTAACCCTCTAACACAAGCAGGCATACAACACCCAGGGTCAAGAGCAACAAAGCTTGGTGGCACAAGCCTTTAATCCCAGCACTCGGGAGGCAGAGGCAGGCGGATCTCTGTGAGTTCGAGGCCAGCCTGGTCTACAGAGTGAGTGCCAGGACAGTCTCCAAAGCCACATAGAAACCCTGTCTCGAAAAGCAAACAAACAAACAAAAAAGAGCGACAATAAACGATTTCCTCCAGTCAACATGATCATCTGACATCCCAGCTCTTGGGAATGAGGTCAGCCTGGGCTACACTGTGAATTCCAGGCCAGCTTTGGCATACAAGTATGCAATCCTCTCTTTATTTTTTTTTCCTCTCCTCGATACATTATCATGAACAAGTATCAGGAAGGTTAAAAAATATGGCAAGCTGGGTGAAGTGACATGTGCCTTTAATCTTAGCACCTCTGAACTTGAAGGCAGCCTGGTCTATAAAGATGAGTTTTAGACTAATCAGAGATACATAGTGAAAGCTTGACTCAAAAAAACCATATATGCCAAATCCTGTATCTCATACCTAGGTTTCCCCACAGTTTTATAGTCTGCTGCAACACCTCATCTTACAATGATCTTTTTCTTTTTCTTTTTTTTTTTTTTTTTTTTTTTTTTTGGTTTTTCGAGACAAGGTTTCTCTGTGGCTTTGGAGGCTGTCCTGGAACTTACTCTGTAGACCAGGCTGGCCTCGAACTCACAGAGATCCGCCTGCCTCTGCCTCCCGAGTGCTGGGATTAAAGGCGTGCGCCACCAACGCCCGGCTTCCTTATTTTTTTTGATGATACAGAATGTATTATGTAGATCTGGTTGGTTTGGAACTCAGTGTAGACCAGGTTGGCTGCAGCTTTCTAAATGCTGGGATTAAAGGTGTGTGTTACTACGTCTAGCTTTTCTTTCTTTCCTTCCTTTTTTTTTTTTTTTTTTTTTTTTTTGGTTTTTCAAGACAGGATTTCTCTGTGTAGCTTTGTAGACCAGGCTGGCCTCAAACTCACAGAGATCTGCTTGCCTCTGCCTCCCAAGTGCTGGGATTAAAGGTGTGCGCCACCAACACCGGCTTTTCTTTTTTTTAAATGGAGGAAGCAGTGTGTGTGTGGCAGGATACATCAGTAATCCCAGCACCTAAGAGGCAGAGTCAGGAGGATCAGAAGATCAAAGTCATCCTCTGCTACATAGTTTTAGGCCAGCCTGGGCTGCCTAAACTCCAAGGCTAAGAGAGATACCCTTCCTCAGGTTGTTCTGAACGGAAGGGCTGAGGATACCTCCATAAAGGAGGCTGTGGCATAGAGCCCTTCCTTGAGTTTGTCTGCTTTCTGGATTAAAGAAGACTGTTCACTGTTCAAGTTCTACTTATGATCTTTTGGCTTTTCCTGGGACATCCCCCATCTTTGTGTTTCATAGTTAACATCTCAGCACTTCCATGGCTTACTTTGAAACTTTGGGATCATACACCTCCAGTACTGATCTCTCTCCTTCAGCACTAGTTGTACCTTTCAGCTAGTGAGAAATCTGCTGTGTGTACCTTCCAGACACATCTCAATTTTTGTTGTTTTTTGAGTCAGGGTTTCTCTGTGTAGCTTTTGGAGCCTGGCCTGGTGCTCACTCTGTAGATCAGGTTGGCCTTGAACTCACAGAGATCCACCTCTGCCTCCAAAGTGCTGGGATTAAAGGTGTGTGCCACCACCACTGCACTATCCCTTTTTCAAATTAATAGCACTGCTGACTTTATTTGGGCCCCATTATTCCTTGACTGGATTATTTCAAGATTGTTGTGCTCAAGTCCAACCTAGTCAGAAGGCTGGAGACAACTTCTGTGCAACGGCCGCACTTTCCAAAAAAATAGTCTGAACTGTTGTTGATTTGGGCATATGCTTTTTTTTTTTTTTTGGATTTTCGAGACAGGGTTTCTCTGTATTGTTTTGGAGGCTGCCCTGGAACTCGCTCTGTAGATCAGGCTGGCCTCGAACTCACAGAGATCCACCTGCCTCTGCCTCCCGAGTACTGGGATTAAAGGCATGCGCCACCAACGCCTGGTTTGGACATATGCTTAAGCCACCTCAGAAATTAAACAATCGCGCAAAGCCCTGAGCACAATATCTAGGAGAAGCAAACGTTCAGTGTTTTTTACTATCCTTGTTACTATTGCTTGCGTCTGTCCTCACTGCTCTAGTGTTAAAGCTATTTTCTCTACGTGGAGAATCCTCCATCAGTTCCAGTACTGTGCCTCTCGGGTTTTATCTATGTACATCCTTCGTGGAGAAGTGTACGTCGTGTTTGAATGATCGATTATGGATCCGATCTCCCTGCTAGACTGTTAACTTCTTGAGAGCAAGAATTCTGAAAACTTCATTGGTCAACCGAAACCATAAAGGATAAAACCCATCCCAGGCGGAAGGCCCCAGCCCCTCCCGGCTAGGGGGCGGGGTGGGACCTGGCTCGGGGTGGCAGTAGGGACTTTTTTCCTCGCCGTGGCGGCGGAGGCGCACGGCGTGGGGTAGCGGCAAGACGTCGTCGGAGGAAGGCTGAAAAAGCCCTAGGTGCTGCCGTTGCTAGTAGAAGTCGGACTTGTCGCCGGAGCTGCGCCTCCGCACAGGTTTCGGACTGAGCGGAGCTTGCTGCCGCGGTCGCGGGAGCCTGCCTGTGCTCGTCCCTGCCCACGTCGCGGTGATGGAGCCGACTACCGTGCTGCCCCCAGGCCCGCGCCCGGCTCTGCCGCTCGGGGGCCCGGGCCCGCTGGGCGAGTTCCTGCCTCCCCCCGAGTGTCCGGTCTTCGAGCCCAGCTGGGAAGAGTTCGCGGACCCCTTCGCTTTCATCCACAAGATCCGGCCCATAGCCGAGCAGACTGGGATCTGTAAGGTGCGGCCGCCGGCGGTGAGTCAACCAGCACCCCGGATCCTGCTCGCGGCTGGGGGAGGGAACGAGGACGCGCGGCCCGGGAGGCCCGAGGCGCGGGGGCGGGGAGCGGTCTCCCCACGGGCCCCGTCAAGTTTGGGGTTCCTCAGAGGGTGGGAGTTGGCGGCGTCGGGAGGGAGGCGCGGGGGCTTGTCCGGGTGGGATGCGGACTGTGAGCCCGGCGGGCTCTGGCAGTGCGGCCCGAGGGTCGGGTCGGTGCGTCTCCGAGGGCGGGTGCGCGACACGGCCCGGCAGCGGTGCGGGCTGGAGTGGTTGGTGGCAGCCGCCGGGGTGGTCGCCGGGGAGGCCTCCGGAGCCCGGCCGAGGCGCGGACGCGGAGGCAGGGCTCTGGGCCCGCACGGCTCGGTGGCTGGTCCTCGCCTCCTCCCCGGGGTGCGGGGGTGTGTGATGGGTGGGGGTGGGGGACTTGCGAGTTGTCGTGTGAGGAGGAAAGTTTTCAATATGGCGGCGGGAGCCCCTGGTCCTTTGTGTGGTGGCGGCGTCGGCCCGGAGCTGTCCTCACCTGAGCGCCCCACCCTCCGGACCCGGGTCCCCCACCACCACCTGGTCCCTCGGCCTCCCGGAGTCCCGGGGCCGGGCTAGGGCAGGGGGCGGCCGGCGCCACTGGGGGCGGGGAGGAGACGCGGGTCTGCCCTGCAGCGGCAGTGTGTCTGGGGGCGCTAGTGTCGGGGGTGCACTTTGGAGCCTGGGGGGCAGGACAGGCAGCGGGACCCCCGATGCCTGCCCCCCCCGTGGCGGGCGCTCCCACACGGCCTTGGGGTGGGACGGCTCTGTTCCCGGGGGAAGCCTGGCTGGGGCTGAGGTGGAGGACAGGCCGTGCTTGTAGGAGAGATGTCAGACGAGCTCTTGGAGGTTTCATCCCGGCCCCCAGCCCACCCTACTCGGCCCACCAGCGGTGGCTCTAGCGCCTCGAGCTTGAGGGGGACTGTGAGGGGTGGGGTGTCCCTCGAAGCCAGCCCTAACGGCTGCAACGTCCGCCAAGAGCCCGACCCACTCTTTCTGTCCCCCGTCTCTCCCCCGCCCCCCGCAGCCGGAACTGGATGCGCTGCGACACCCCAGGTTTTTCGCCTATCTTTTGGGATAGCCTGAGTCTTGAGTTGGCCCAAACGACCGTTGGACCGGCTGGGACGGTTAGAGAGGTTTAACTGCCTTGGCTGCCGTTTTAAGAATTTTCCATCTCTCCTGCTCTCACACAAGTGGAGGAAGACCCCCCCCCCACCCCTTTTAGCCCTTTCTTCCTTAAACTTGCTCTTTGTAATGGCATTTTGAGTTGCGGGATTGTACACATAATCATTCTGTTCTAGAAAAGCTGTTGGAGAGAGATCCCTGAATAAGCCTTATCTTTTCACAACCCCCACCACCAGAAAAAAAAATAAACCACAGACACCATATTTTAGTTTCTCTTGGACAACTTTGAAAACAAATGAAATAAATGCTTCAGAAAATAACTGGCCAGGTCAGCTCATATAGGGGAAATGTTTGGAAATAAGATTCATTTTGCCTGGTGAAGTGGAACAGGGTTGATTGTTGCTTAAAGGAAGGTACATTTATTTCTGTTACTGTAGAGGCCTGCACAAGTTACACCCTGGGCTGGTTAGCCCTAATGTTTCAATTTTGAAGAATAGGTCATGAATGTTGCAAACATTGAGCGATATAGCTTTACATTAATGTGTCAGGAAAGATGAACGTAAATATTGGATGCTTGCATTAATGGGATGTTGCTCAGAAATTAGGAAACTTGGCTTAGTTATTAGAAACAAAAATATAGAGGAGTTAGGTTCCTGTGAGCTGTCCTCCATGTTGGCATTGTGGTATACCAGGGCTGGGGTAAGTCCTTTATCTTACCTTCTTTGCCTTTTATAGAGCTGAGATGTTTTCTTCGACAAATAGTGTTGCTGTGGTTAGGTTTGGCTACCCATTTCTCATCTGCTAGCAGAATAATGGCAGTCTTGAGGATTTGTGCGTTTGTTTTGCTTTTTCCCATTCTGAATGTCACACATGATGGCCACCATTTTGTATTGAGAGTACTTTGTACTACAGCCTGAGAGGAAAGGGGTAACGAGGAAGAAATAATCTACAAACATAAGTAGTGCTGTTTTGGAGCCCTCCTTTGTGTGGAGGGGACTTGCTTCCTCCTTTGTTTAACAAACTCCTATGCCAATGTAGAAGAGTTTGCCAGTATTCGCTGTTGATATAACCATAAGAAAGAAAATTCAGAAGTTGTGGCTCTTGAACAGAGGGGTCCTGGAACAAAGGCTTCTTAAGAGATGTAAACAGTCTTTGTTTAGGAAGTGTTTTGTATTAGGAAAGTAAGAACAAGTGGTTTCATATAGTTGAAATATGGCAACAAAATAAACCCTTAAGAAATAGAAAATATTTTACATGGCGGTAGCTTTATAATGCCTTTATCTCTAGATAATTTCTGTTCATTGGGTTTTTGGAACCCTAGTGGCTAAATTAAAGGGGTTTGGAGATTGTGGTATACTTTTAGTAGGTAAGGGGAAAATTAAAAGCATTTCTGTTTCCTTTTATTCTTAGCTTTTTCTTTAATTAATGGTACTTAGCTTTGTTTTGGACCTGTATTTTTTAGTGAGGGTCTTAAGCTGCTTGACTTGAGAACTTAGGATGTTTACATTATTTTGTCTAAGAGTTGATAAAAATTTGTGGAAATGTAGTGTAAGGTAAATGTGATAAAAATGGTGAATCAGACTATCTGCAAACTTCAGGTTTAAAGACAGTAATAAGCCTTATTTCAAAGTGTAAGGGATAGCCAAGCTTATTTTCAGAAGTGAGACCTTTAAACATTAAAAATTTACTTCTGTTTTTTCTTTAAGATGCAAGTATTATAAGTACAAGTGTTATTTTCACATTGTACTATTTGGAGATCAGTAATTTTAGGGGTGCTAATATTAGTCAAAAAGTTGGCTGCTCAGTAAATATCTTTGAATTTCTCAAATTTGATGGAACTGTATTTGATAGCTTTAATAACTTTCTTGCTTTCAGATATCTAACATGGCTGTAGTTGGGCAGATTCCACAAATTTCTCCTTTGACAATGACCAAAAGTCAGACTTTTAAATCAAACCCCAGATGGCACAATAAAGGCTATTTTTCACTTTTCACTTCCTTTGGTTGTTTTTGTTTGAATTCTTCATCTACATCTTTATAGCCATGAGGTTTAAGACTGTTGTAATGCATTAAGCATCTTTGAGGTTGTTAACTCCACTCCTGGAGAGCAAGGGGGAAGTTAACATACACACTTTTGTAAGGTAGAAGTGCTAATGACAACAGAGCTTATTCATGTCTATTCTAGTGTGTGTGTGGGGGGAGGAGAGGTGTGTGTGTGTGTGTGTGTGAGTGTATGAGAGAGGGTGTGAGTGTGTGTGTGTGAGAGTGTATTTGCACACATGCATGCATGCTACCCTGTAGTGTACATGTGGAGGTCAGAAGACAGTTTGTAGAAGTTTGGTCTCCTATCATGTGGATTCTGGGATCAAACTCAGGAATTTGCTTTTTGTTTAGAGTGTTGGAATACATGAATAACAGGTATGCAGAAATTTGCCAAAAAGGGGACTTTTAGAGGGTTTAACATTATATATAATTTTATATGGGATCACCTTACAGACTTCTCATGTTTTTTGTTTCATATTTATTTGTACTTTGACCATGGGCATGGCTGTTGTCCATAGAGGCCAGAAGAGGGCATCAGATCCTCTGAAATTGGAGTTATAGAGGGTTGTAAACTGCCATATGGGTGTGGGAACTAAGTCTGGGTCCTTTGCAGGACAGGACCAGCAAGAGCTCTTAGCTATGAGCCATCTTCCTAGCCACTCATTGCTGTCTTCTTGGTCCACATTAGCATTTATGGAGAGAAATTCGTGAAGGCACTCAGGAGGCAGAGTAGGTAGATCTCAGGTCAGTCTGGTTTACATAACAGTTCTGACCAGCCAGGGCTATATAGTAAGGCCTTGTCTGAAAACAAAAGACTTGGAGAGAGGGCTCTGGGATTAAGAGCACTTGGTCTACTGGGGACCCAGGTTTGATTTCCAGCACCCACATAGTGGCTCACAGCCATCCATAAATCTAGTTCCACAGGATCCTATGCTACCTTCTGATCTCTGCAGCATATGTTGGGTATATATGCATGCATGCAAACAAACACATAATATGAATCTTAAAAAAAACATAAGGGATGGTTCTATGATTAAGAGCTATTTACTGTGCAAACATGAGGACTGGAGTTCCAATTGGAATGCTCACATAACAAATTGGGTATGATCCCACATTCCCTTGTAATCCCAGTACTGAGCAGGGAGGAAGACAGGATTCCTAGTGCAGAAATGTAAGTTCCAGCTTCCAAGAGACCGCCCCTAAGGAATAAAGCAGACATAGGACTGTACTTGATGCCTTCCTCTGGTCTTGTTGCACTCACACAGGTGCATGCACTAGCACACACACAATTGTATATATATACATGCAGCACATTTCACAAAAACGTACACATACTTACACACAAAACTTTAAAAATCATTTAAGCTCCCTCCTCCTCCCAATACTACTTTCTTGACAAAGCCATAGCTACCAGGGTACAAATTAATTTTTAAACTTCTAGTATTTGTGTCTGTGTTGTTTGTGTGTGTGGGGAGAGGGAACAGGCAGTTGCACATGCGCTACTGTAGAGGTCAGAGGACAACTTTCAGGAGTTGTTTTCTCATTCCATTTTGTTTTGGAGCCAGGTGCTGTCTCTGCCAGGTGTAGTTCTGGCTAGCTAGCTGGAAAGCTTCAGAGTGCTGGAGTGGGGGGTAACATATGCATGCCATCACATCTGGTTTTTATATGGGTCCCAGGGATCAAACTCAGGGTGTCAGGCTTGTGCAGCATGTGTTTCACCCACTGGCTATCTCACTATCCCCTAACTTTTTTTTTTAACCAAACTGTAAATTCTTTTATTAACAGGCA